TCAGTGATTCTCCAGAGGACTCACAGGACACAGCATGTAGTCATCACTGCATGTAGTTATTCACAGCCGTGAGTCATACCAGGTAAAGGACACAAAAAGCACTAAAGGGAGAAGATGCGTGGGGTGATGTCCAGAAGAAACCAGGCACAGCTCCCAAGAGCCTTCTCCAGTGGAATCACCTGGCATGTGACCAACTCTTTCAGCAGCGAGTTGGGACAGCACATGTGAAATGTTTCCTACCGGGGAAGCTCATTAGAGACCAGTGCTCAGGGTTTTTACTGGGGGCTGGTCATGTTAGGCACCTTCTGTCTAGCATGCACCAAAATCCCAGACTCCCAGAAGGAAAGCAGGTGTTCAGCATAAACCATATTGTTCACATAAACAGTTTAGGCACAGTGAGACAGTCTTGTCAGGGAATAGTGGGAATCTTCCCAAAATCCAATTTCCCAAGTGCCAGCCAAGGCCAGACTGCAAGCAGGCTGTTGGGCAGCAGTCTTAGGCCTGCTGTAATGGTGTTGGGTCTTTGGAATTTGTTGAGACTTACTTTGTGGCATAATATGTGATCCATTGGGAAATACAACAAGAAATCTTATGCCTAGAAAATAATAAAAAATAACGTATAGTCTTTTCAGATGCAGAGGATCTACCTATTAAATCAATCTTATTATTACTTGTTACTCAAATCTTTATATTTACTATTTTCTTTTTTCAATCTGTCAGAATCTGAGAGAACAATGTCAAAATCTTCCACCATGATTGTGAATATGTTGGTTTCTTCCTTTAATTCTATCAACTTTTGTTCTTTATATTTCATGGTGTGTTGTTAGGTGCATGCAAACACATATACTATTATATCTTGTTAGTGGATTATTCCTGTTCTAAGTTTGTCATCATTTTACAGTCAGCCTTTCTGTGTCATTTTGGTTTAGATATGTCTCTTGAAACAGCATGTATAGCTGCATCACTAAAAATGCCATCTTTGTATCTACATTTTCACTGTATTTATTGTGATTCCTGACATATTTGGACTTGTTTATGACACTAAATTATGTGTCTTATATTTACCACAATTTGTCTGAACTTCTTTTTATCTCTTTTCCTGCATTCTACAGATTCTTTCACCCATTTTTTCCAGTGAGGGTTTATTTTGGGGTTTCTTGGCTTCACCTCCCACTCACCAGTTTGATTCCACTTTCCATTTCTGGCTCTCGGATTTTCCCTTGCCTTTTGGTTTGTGAGTTCAGCATGTTTTTTTTCTGTATCATTTCTATGTATTTGACACAGAGGTGGAGGGTTTTCAGTCCCCCATTGGTGCTCCACCATCTTGACTTAGAAATTGTCTTTAAACTTTCATTCACCTTCTTTAGATTTACTGAACTCTAGTGCAAATAGTACTCAGATTTAATATTCTCAGTATACTTTTAAAGGCAAAGAAAGGCCTTTAAAATTTCTTATTTCTTAGAGTATTTTTTACTTATAGGAAAATGGTAGTAGGAGAGTAACCTTCTTATCAGATATGCCATGTAAATAACAAAATACTTGAAGCAAAAAAAAAATTGTCCAGCTAAAGAAACTTCAAAAGCAGTGACCCAGGTACAGTGAAAAAATACTGAAAAAAACTGGAAGAGCCAAATAGCCTCCAGGTGGCTGTAAAAGGTAGTCCCGTCAGTGCGGCGTGGAGGAGACTGAGGTAGATAATTTGGCGCTTTCATAAGCTGATCGGTAACTACTGTGATACCTACTTTAAAAAGACAAAAAAAAAAAGAATTGTTACAGTAAGAAAGCACTTTGAAATAAAATTGGGAAGCCATAATAAGTTTTAAATGCCATAGAACAGTGTGTCTCACAGTGTGTATATTATTACGCAGTGTGTAATAGTGGGAAAACTAGCATTACAATGTCTGGATTTAAACCCCAGGAGCATTGCTGACCCACTTGGAGAAGTTACATAACTTGTAAACCCAATTTTCCCATCTGTAAAAATGGGAATTGTGGTTCTTACCTTAGAGAATTACTATAGAACTAAAAGGAGATAATGCATATTAAAATGTGTAATAGAGCACCTAACACATAATAAATAGTGAATAAGTGGTAGCTATTACAGTTATAAAATGGAGCCCACAGATGGCAGCGCCAGAATCGTTGAGGAGGAGGGTGCACGGCAAGTGTGGACTAGGGGCTCTGGGAACCTGGCTGTGAAGGGACAGAGAAAAGCTGCTTGAGCTCAAGGTGACCATTTTCCCACTGCCATCTGCTCACTTTGTGTCTCTGTGTCACATTTTGGTAATGTAATTTTCAAACTTTTATTATTATATTTGAATTGATGAAATCTCATGAAAAAAACTAATGAATGAAGAGTTGCTTCTTATGGATGAACAAAAGGGCTGGTTTCTTGACATGGAATCTACTCCTATGAAGACGCTGTGAAGGTTGCTGAAATGACAACAAAAGATCAAGATACCATATAAACTTTTCGGTTCTACCAGTGTCTGCTAGTTCAACTTGTTATTAATCTTACATTGGATAATCAAATATTATGTAGCTCTGTAAAATACCAAAGTGAACAGAAAGACTTAAAATTTTATGAAACCTAAGTTGAATGTGTCAAGAAGTTGAATGGCCAGAACCAAAATTGGAGCTGAATTAAATGCAAGTAAAACTAATGTAAAGCATTGGAAGAAAAATCCCAGTAGCAAAATTGAGGACTCTGCACCTAGGTCGCTCTAAAGAATTTGAAACGAGAAATTATAGATGTCACAATAGTTTATGCCAGGTACCTGGCCTTTCCAGCAGAGAAAGAAGCTGGGGGCACTGACACTTAAAAAGTTAAAACTTTTGTCCAATATCAGATGTTTAGTGAACAAATGTTCATTTGTATTTTAAGTTAAAATAAAATATTGAAGGTAAGCATGTGTCATTTTTAGGATTCCCTGCTGCACCTCACTTGACTGGCTGAGAGGGCATCTGCTATGTCTGTGGTTGTACTTAATCCACAGCCACAAGGACATGAATGTGCAAACATTTTCTTTTTTCAAATGGGAAAATAGCAGAGTTACAGAGACCCAGAGATGGCCTCCAAAATTGAGATGTTAAAAATCTTAAAAGTCTATACAACTGAGAGCTATGTTGTGAATAGTCAGTAGCCTCCTTCAGCAAGATGCTTTTATTTGTCATAGCACAGGCACAAAGTCCTCTTTGGAAGTATGTGGCTTAGAATAGTGTTTTTGAAACTGGGTTGCCAAATAAATTCAGTGGTTCATTAAAAAGGATAGAATAGCAAATAGAGTGTACTGCAAGTTAAAAGGATTGGTTTGGAATTACATAAAATAAGTTCAGCACATACTGGCTAAGACAAAAGCTACAGACCACTGTAGAAATAAAAGAAACAACATATCTTTTAACTCAAATTTTACATGGCAGAACAAAAATATAAATTGGGATAAAACATAAGAGACTTTGAAGATGAAATGACATGAAATCAAGGATTTACTTTAACCTGCTACAGAAGAGAACCAGCACAGCAGTGTGATATGATGATTATAGAATCTGGGGAACATCAGTATTGAAGACACCCTCTTATTTTATATATGTTTTGTAACACGCGTAACTAAAATGGGAGGAACAATGGGTGTCACAAATGCTAGCTGGCATGTCAGGGTCTGACCATATTTTGTTTTCTGTAGTACTTTTCATTTATGTTAGGAAAACAGACTGTGTAATTATAAGCAGCTCTTTAGCTTTGGAGCCCTAGAGTAGACCTGCCTGTGCCGTCCCTGTACAGGGACAGGGACTCAGGAACACCACACACCACGCGCATGGGACAGAACCCCGGGCGGGACCTCCAAGCACTACGACAGCTGTGGCTATTTCCGAATTGAAGTATTTTGAACAAGCACTTTCAGAGTGTAAGAAAACCTATTCAAGATGGATTCTTTGAGTGTCTCTGAGATTATAACAATATAAAATATATTTTTATAGCAAGTACTACCATGAACAATGGCTCATGAACTAACTTCTTTCTTTTCTAGGCAGAACTGGAACTATGGTGTGTGCCTTCCTTATTGCCAGTGAAATATTTAAAACTGCAGAGGTATGTAAGATGTTACTGCAAACTGCCTTACGCTGACTGAATTTGCCAGTGAAGCACTCACAGGCACAAAATTTAAGAGAACAATGAAAATCTCAGTAACTATGATAAATAATATTCTAATGCATTTTTTTGCATTTTTTAAATTAAGATGTCATTGATATACTCTTACGAAGGTTTCACATGAAAAACATTGTGGTTACTACATTCACCCATATTATCAAAACCTCCTCACACCCCATTGAAGTCACTGTCTATCAGCGTAGTAAGATGCCAGAGTCACTACTTGTCTTCTCTGTGCTACACTGTCTTCCCCGTGATCCCACACACACCACGTGTACTAATCATAATACCTCTCAATCCCCTTATTCCTCCCTCGCCACCCGCCCTCCCCCACCCCTCCCCTTTGGTAACTGTTAGTCCCTTCTTGGAGTCTGTGATTCTGCTGCTGTTTAGTTCCTTCAGTTTTTCTTTGTTCTTATACTCCACAAATGAGTGAAATCATTTGGTGCTTGTCTTTCTCCGCCTGGCTTATTTCACTGAGCATGATACCCTCTAGCTCCATCCATGTTGTTGCAAATGGTAGGATCTGTTTTCTTCTTATGGCTGAATAATATTCCATTGTGTATATGTACCACATCTTCTGTATCCATTCATCTACTGATGGACACTTAGGTTGCTTCCATATCTTAGCTATTGTAAATAGTGCTGTGATAAACATAGGGGTGCATATGTCTTTTTGAATCTGAGAAGTTGTTTTCTTTGGGTAAATTCCTAGGAGTGGAATTCCTGGGTCAAATGGTATTTCTATTTTGAATTTTTTGAGGAACCTCCATACTGTTTTCCACAATGGTTGAACTATTTCACATTCCCACCAGCAGTGTAGGAGGGTTCCCCTTTCTCCACATTCTTGCCAACATTTATTGTTCCTAATCTTTTCTATGTTGGCCATCCTAACTGGTGTGAGATGATATCTCATTGTGGTTTTAATTTGCATTTCCCTGATAATTAGCAATGTGGAGCATCTTTTCATGTGCGTGTTGGCCATTTGTATTTCTTCTTTGGACAAGTGTCTGTTCAGGTCCTCTGCCTATTTTCTAATTGAGTTGTTTATTTTTTGAGTGTTGAGGCATATTCTTTATATATTTTGTATGTTAACCCCTTATCACATGAGTCGTTTATGAATATATTCTCCCATACTGTAGAATGTCTTTTTGTTCTACTGATGGTGCCCTTTGCTGTACAGAAGCTTTTTAGTTTGGTGTAGTCCCACTTGTTCATTTTTTTGTTTCCCTTGCCAAGGAGATGTGTTCATGAAAAAGTTGTTCATGTTTATATCCAAGAGATTTTTGCCTATGTTTTCTCCTAAGAGATTTATGGCTTCATGACTGGCATTCAGGTCTTTGATCCATTTTGAGTTTACTTTTGTGTGTGGGGTTAGACAGCGATCCAGTTTCAATCTCTTGCAAGTAGCTGCCCAGTTTTCCCAGCCCCAGTTGTTGAAGAGGCCGTCTTTCCCCATTGCTTATTCATGGCTCCTTTATCATGTATTAATTGATCATATCTATGCAGCTGGCTCCTCACTCAGCCTGCAGAGCAGATGAGAGAAGCTGCGGGTGGCACACAGGCCCAGCACTCTAATTCCACCATCTTCTTTTCTGATTTGAGACACACAGGTTATGAAAATGGACAGCATTTTTCAAACTATAGGTCTTATCCTATCAGTGAGTTATAAAATCAACACACTGGGTACCATTTAAAAAAATAAAATGTTATATATTAGATGTTATATATAAATGTTGTAGATTATCAAAAGGCAGGTATTGTTTTGTGATACTTCTGTTCTTTTGTTTCAGTTTGGGGGGGTGTCCGAGGGTATGTGCATGTGGGGCTTTATGTGTGAGGAGTATGTATGTGTGTGGGGGGTGTGATGCCGGGGTATGTGTGGGGGTGGGGTGGGGGGGAGTATGTGTGGGGCTGTAAAAAGCCTCCATATAGCTTTTGTGGGTTTCATTTCATTTCAGGTAGTTTCTGTTCAGAGACTGCCGACCTAAGGAAGTGGCACACCCACCCTTAGGAGCTTTAAGAACACCTTGTACAGGAAAGGGGAGGGCAGGTGAGCCATGACTGAGGTGTCCCTTTCTCTGTAGGACACCCTTTATTACTTTGGAGAACGACGAACAGATAGAAGCATCAGTGCTAAATTTCAGGGGATAGAGACTCCTTCTCAGGTAAGTTTTCTTTTTAAAAAGGGGGTTTTCTTGGGGGTGGGGTAAGATTGGCCTCAGTCATCTCAGACTCTTTGGTGATGAAGTGTTAGCACTTGGGGGTCTGCGACGGGCCCCCCTCCCAGAGGCGGAGAGGCTCTGCTTCCACTTTGCGAGCATGAGTTCTCCCCAGAGGACCCCTGCTGTCTATCTTATATTGGGTATCGTTTACGGAGCTCAGGAGTTGGTTCCCTTCCCAAAGTAGGAAGGTCTGATTCCTAAGGTTCCAGACCTTATACTGGTTTTAAATATTTCACTGGCAGTAAGGAAGGAACATACCATGTATGTGTGTGTGTGTCAGACAGACAGACAGAGACTGGAGGTGCTACATTTTGAAAAAGAAAGAAAAAGGGAAATTAACATTTTTCAAAACCTATTATATACCAGACACTATTGCACTTTTACATATATTATCTCATTTAATATTCAGACAACCCATGTGAAATATATGCTATTACCCTATTTTTTCCTTTAAAAAATGTTTTAGTTTGGAAAATTTCAAACATAAACAGTCGAGACAGTCATACAGTAAATCCCTCTTGGAGTCATCCCACCCCTTCGACAATCATTTCATCAGTTGTGTCTCATTTGTTCCCTCCCCACTGTCCTCACACACACACACACTCTCTCTCTCTGTCTCTTTGTCTCTCTGTCTGTCTGTCTCTCTCTCTCTCTCTCTCTCTCTCTCTCTCTCTCCAGTCTTTCTCTAAGCCTGAATTTCTTTAAAGGAAATTCCAGAATCATACCGTTTTATCCCACAAGTATTTTAGTATGACATCTAACACAAAGACACTTTTAAAAGACCTTAAAACTATTTATCATATCTAAAAATATTATACCTTAATAATGCTAAATGTCCATACTAAATTTCTAGAAATAATTGTTTCCATAATTATTTTAAAATCATTGAAACATTTAGTTTGTTTCAATTGAGATTCAAAGGCCACACATTTCACTTGATCTCTTAAGTCTCTTTTCGTTTATATTTCTCCCACTCCTCTTTTTTATTCCTTGTAATTTGTTTATTGCAGAAACCAGGATATTTATCCTGTAGAGTTTATAACATTCTAGACTTTGCTGAACCATGATAAG